TGATTTCAAAGCAGATAATTTGCAAGCAAAAAAGGCAGTGTTCAGCACTGATTTAACAATCACTTGTTGGTTAATAGTAGTGTGGGTACAAAAGATGTTGAATGCAGATAAAAACAGAGACCTCATCTTTTCTGCTGGCCTCGTCAGGAATCAGCCATTTATTTGTTTTTGCCTTTGAAAGTGTATTTCCACTGTTGATCCAAGACTTAATGAATCAATTTAGGAATTTAAATGGGCAGTTGTATTTGTGGAGAATAGTAGAGTTAGTGTTCTACGTTGAGGTCAGCTGTATGTTAACAGTATAAGTATGCAACAAATCATGGGCTAAATTTATCCAGGATAAGATTTTTAAGGACAGGGGGGTTTGAAAGCTTATAATTATTACAGTTTAATTAATTTATTCAGCATTACAAACATGCAGTTTGTACACATGTACTTCTAAAACTTCCTTGAAGTCAACATGTGATCGAAACTGTTTTGTGTGGGTTTGCTTTGCATGAAATTAATTAAACCACGACACAATAATCAGAAAGATCAAATAAGAACTCTGAATAGCCAGATATTCTTGTCCATTTCTTTTTGTGGCATATTTTTCTCCCCTTCTGTACCTTAATGGAGTGCACAATTCTTCACAGCTATTACAGCACTATGTAACACAGTGGATCATGAATGTTAAAGATGATGAAAACAAAAGGTGAAACAAAAAGATCCAAAAGAGTTGAATTCATGCCAGAGTCATTGTTTTGGATTTCATTAGTTTTTTATGGGTGTGCCTAGTAAAGTGGCCAGTGGGGTTAGTGCTTGAGGGAGCCACAGCAGCAGCACTGCAGGAGCTGTGGGCTGCATCCTAATAAACTGGGATGACTGCAGTGGGAGCTGTGAATAACACAAACGTCACAATTATACAACCCCTGAAATTTTCTGTCGAGTTTGAAACTCTACAGCGTGTCCCTGAAGTTTACATAATGTCGGCATTACATACAAATATGCTTGAAAAGAAAACTATAGAAATGTGGGCAACAATGTCCTGTTGTTGTCAAGGTGGTTGCTGTGAGCTGTAGATTTGGGGTTTGCCGTACTGTGTTTATATATAAAAACTCAAAGTGTCTCAAAGTCAGAGTCATTATCCAAACATTAGATGGCCTGAACTTATATAAATATTGTCCAAGATACTACAACGTAGTAAAAGAATAAGCTAGATTGATGCACAATTGTGGGTACGTTCCTTTTCATGCACAATATTGTACTCAGGGCATCATCTTAAGCGATAACTTTAAAAATAGTCTCTTTTAATCAATTAACTTTTATGAGCAAAGTGTAGTAAACCAACAAACAATCAGTATTTGGCCTGGCTAAGCTATAACATATTGATATTCAGTACTGCTGTGCTTTATTTCCATGGAAATTTAAAGTCTTTCTCAGGATTAATGAAGGTCACATTAGGTAAACGTACATCTTACAACAAAAGCTAAAGTCCAGACCTTCCACTGCATGTGACAGTGAAAGAAATGCTGCGATATATAAACCCCAACAGCAGCATAATGCTTACTTACAGAGTGTGACGGAATCGATGAAAATCACTCACTCAAACATGATTCATGTTTGTTTTGCATCCTGTTACTGACACAAAAGTGATTTATGTGTTGACCTTTTGCTTCCCCGTTACTGTAAAACCAATTTCTCACAGCTGCTGTGGACATGGACCTGCTAAGAGCTTGGTGAGATGAGGTGTGCCTATTTGCGGTGACTTGGTTAGTTAATTTATATCCTGTAGTCTGTGTTTTTCCGCAGTTACATACTCAAAGTGACAAATTATACCTGACTTGTATTCATAGAGCAGAACCTCACTGTGCACTGCTGGATGGATGTGAGAGAGTGCACTGATTCAGCTGGTACTTGAAGTACAAAGCAGAGGGTCTGATATTAAATTACCACCTGACAGATGTTTGTGTGTCCGCTGATTATGGTTTTGAGCTGACCTTGTGGGACTTTAACAAGCATGCAGAGAGGGTCTCCACTGTGCCATTTCTATTTAACAAGTCCACACTATCACAATATTTTTTTTTTTCATGGTGAAATTCACAGTTTAATGGAAATAACCAAAAAGACTCTTCTCCCTGCAGTCATGATGCTCTGAGGCCATTGCATGAGGCCGCCTGGGCGAACATGATGGAGGAGGCTGCCAGCCAGCTTGAAAGAGATCATGTACACAATGTCTACGACAAGATTGCTCCATATTTCAACGACAGCCGCTATAAAGCCTGGCCGAAGGTACGGCAGTTCCTCCTGGAACTGCAGCCTGGGAGCATCGTTGCTGACATTGGTGGGTCTCCAGCAGTAATGTGATCCTGAAAGTCCAATTACAGCTGGCTTACATTTCTTGTGTTATGTTGTAGCTGACTGTCTTGTCTTTCCAGGTTGTGGTAATGGTAAGTATCTCCACATCAACAAGGACGTGTTCAAGCTGGGGTGTGATGTTTGTCGCCCCCTGGTGGATTTTGCCTGGAGCCAAGGACATGAGGTCCAGATGTGTGATGGGCTGCATTTGCCTTACAGAGACAGCTGCTTTGATGCTGTGCTTTCTATTGCAGGTAATGGTCAGAACTATAAGCAGTTATTATAGATGAGATAAGAGGCTTTTTTTAAAATATTTCACTTAGTAACAAATCACTCCCTTCATATGCATGAGCTCAAACGCCGTCATCTACCTCAAATTAAGTTAACTCATATAATGATAAACATCATATTACCACAAACTTGCGTTGCCAAGCCAACAGTGTGAAAAATAATTATTGTGTCCTACCAAAAAAAAAAGAGTGTAATTAGGTCCAAACCAAACAGCTGCACTATTCATTTATCTTCCATTATACACACAGTGTACATGATACCTCATAAATTCATGCTTAAAGCTGACAAATTCATATTTTTGTCACAGTCATTCATCATCTGTCCACCAAAGAGCGTCGTATTCGAGCAATAAAGGAGATGGCTCGCACTCTGCGAGTGGGCGGACGCATTATGATCTACGTGTGGGCCATGGAGCAGAAACGTCGTAAATTTGAGAAACAGGACATCTTTGTTCCTTGGAACCCCAATCCTCAATTCCTTCCCGGCCTCAACAAACCGAGGAGGAGAACCACAGCACAGAGCGTGAGCGAAGCCATAGACAACACTGAAAAGCACAGGAAGGTTAGAAGCACATCCTCTGTGGCAGACGAAGAAGATCTTGGTCGCACTACACCACAGCAGAGGACACACAAACTGTGGTTCTTCTCCAGGTCTCTTGATTCTGTGTTCGACTTCGGAAGCTTGGGGATCTCCCGTTCATCCTCCAGAGACATGAGCACTTTATCTTCACCCACAGGTGAAAATGAGGGGAACAAGTTCAACCTGAGCGGGAGAGGACGAGGGCTTATCAAGCAAGTCTCAAGTTTCTTTTCTCCTCCATCTGTGATCGGATCAGAAGAGGATGTCTTTGTCACAGAGCAGCACAAAGGACCGAATAATTCTGGAGGCAATGGCACCACTAACAACAGCAGCGCAGTGTCTTTAGTCCAGGAGTGTGGCTCTCTGGCTCTACCAGATCTAGTCTCCTTGCAGGGGGAGGACCTAAAGCAGTCTGGAGATGAAAGAGATGGAGGGCTGCTGGGAGAAGAGCTGCAGGAAAGCACACAGAGTCCTCAGGGGAGTGAAGGGCAGGTGGAAGGGTCCTGCCTGAGGTACTACCACGTCTTCAGGGAGGGCGAGCTGGCAGAACTGATAGCGAATCATGTCGAAGAACTTCATGTTAAACACACCTACTTTGATCACGCCAATTGGTGTGTGGTGGCAGAGAAAGTTCAGGTATGGAAAATATGACCGGAACTTGTCATATTTGAGTTCACTTTGCATCGCCTCTGCCTCAAGTTTTAGCACTGAATTCCACATGTGAGAATAATGACATTCTTTTCATTTAAATGTGCAAATGTAGCCATTGTTGAAGGTCTAGGTAACACTAACATTCTCCAGTGCTGTAATTCTCTCATGAACTATTTAAAAATGAGATTTTTATCCATGTATTTATTTTATCCTGGAACCAGCTATATGTCAGAGCTTTTGGAAAGCAGCAAATAGATATTTTATGGAAGTGTTCAACTTCCTTGGCCGTTACTGTATGTTGTACCAGATTATTTTTAACTATTTATTCTTTTTCAATAAATCTACAGTGTGTCTTTTAGAGTCGGTGTTTTGTTATTTAACCCTAGTGGGCTGCATCACAGCTATTGATTTGTATTTTAAAAGAACATTTCTTCTCTTTGTGCTTTAAATATGAGCAGAAGAGAAATGTACAAAGCTACAGCATACTCTTCCCTCTGCTTTTATCTTTTAATATATTGATTTCAGTAGAGAATTCTTTCTTTCTTTGTGTCTGCAAAATCGCATGCTGCTTATCTCTCATTAAAAGGAGCCAAATTTGCAGCTAGTATCAGCTGCGGACTTCTTGGTAACGCTTCCTGTGAAACTGCTCGTGCGTACTTTTTCATTGCACTCTCATACAAGTTTAAAATTGTGCAGAATCTCTTCCGAAACATTAGTGCCATTTTCTTGTTGTTTTACTCTACAAGTGTTCCAGACGACATGTCGCCAGTGGGCGTGTCTGTGTGTGCGCGCGCCCTTGATGTAGATATTTGCAATAGTGGCATTGTGTCTTGTAACAATTTGGTATGTCTCAGCAAATCAGAAAACTGCCTCATGTACTGTGAATAAACATTGCACTCTATCACAAGTATATCGCTGCTTGATGTCAGTGAATGACATAATAGGTGAGACTTGAAAAACTGTTTATATCCATTGTGGTGCATTTCTTTAGCTGTATAGTTTTTGTGGACCAACTAGGTTTGTCTTAAAAGTGGCAAATGTCTTGTGTGAGCTGATGTAAATACTTTGTTTTGGTTTTTTTTTATTAAATTTGTTTTTGTTCACGGGTGTTGTCTTGCTTCTACTCCCATTAACAACAAAGATTTGTTCATGTACAGTTTATTTCTAGAGTATTTAATTGTCACACAGGTACAATTTGGTAAATGGTAAGCTAAAAGTCTTTATAGCCAACTTGCACATACTATACTAGAATCATCACCAGCCTACAAATGAAAGCCTTAATATTTGATTTGTGAGGATTTTTAAATAATTCTTTAACATGTAGTCACGTGAAGAAGATTTCCCTTGGACTCTGCAGTCTATGCAATAACTTAATTATTTTACTGTAGGACTGTATTGGTCTCTCACATTGTAGTGAAATCCTCTTCTTTTTAATATTGCTTCAGTTCATTAATGTTTATTGGCATTCATTTATGCACAGCTCTTAAAAGCCACACCACACTAGCATTTAAATCTGGTCTGGGTCACTACAACACCTTGACTCTTTTCTTTTTCAAACATTTTATTGTAGGTCGAGGTTGATTCAATGACCGCAAGGTGCCCAAATCCTGTGGATACAAAACAAACCCGAATCATTATCCCTCCACCACCGTGCTTGTGAGCTGATATGTGGTCTTTGCATTGACATGTAGTGTTTTGTACCCAAAATGGCGCTATCCATTATGGACAAGCATCTCTGCTTTAGTCTCATCAGAAACATTGTTGCAGAAGTTTATTTAAATGCAGTTTTTTTTTCTAATTGCATTGGAATGTTAACATTTCCGATACTACCTGAGGCTTGTAAAGTTTTTAGCTCTTAGTTTTTTATGCCCCCCCCCCAAAAAAAAGAAAATCCTCCCTAAGAGTTGTATTGTCTGACCTTTGAGTGAATTTTGTGGAATTTCCACTCCTGGTAAGATTGTGGCATTAACAGGGAGCTGAAAGCTCCATTCCAGAAAACTACCAGAAACTCTGCTTTTGTGTTTTTGACCAATTAATCAAGAGCATTTGATAAGCATCACCTCTTGATTCCTATATAAACAGTTTTTCCACAGGACTGTACTGAGTTCCATGAAAACCTTCTTTTTCAGATGAATGTAAAAATATGTTATGGTGGCTGTGATGTCCCTATAACAATATAATTGTAGTTACAAGACCATCATTGCAACGAACCAAAAATGAGTGAAATAAGTTCTAATATGTGACCGCATAAGATGTATCACTCCTACAGTTATTTTCTCAACTGTGTAAATTAAATAAATATGCCAAAGTAACTGAAGTACTGGTCAGTTTCTAATACATTTTTGAAACTTTCCAAATGACCATGGCATTGACTCTCAAATATCAGCTACCCACTGAGGATCCTCTTGATTAGGGAGCCAAGTTTTACATACCACACTCCCTCCAAACCTGAAACATGAATAGCAAGGTTATAATGAGAACTCTGTTTTTAAACTAATTGTTTCTGTACATAGAAGACTTGTTTGTCCAATTTTATCTGCTGTGTTTCATTTACCTGAGTTGCTGCTCTGTGGACGATAGAGTGTCTGAGTGCCAGTTTATCAATGTCTCTAGAGTATCCTCCACCAATAACAGCAGCGATAGGGACACCTCTTTTCACCACAGTCTTCAGCACAAACAAATCTCTCTGATAGAGCCCTAAGGGACACTTGAAGTCATTCAAAAAGTCTGTAAGTGATTTGAAGGTAAAAACACCTGGGTGTAAAACAGAATGGCTCACCTTGGTCTGTCAGGCGAAGCCTTCCGAGTTCATCTTCCCAGTGAGGATCAACCCCTGCGTCATACAAAACCAGGTCTGGGCGAAAGGTTTCCAGCAGCCAGGGAAGGTGGGCTTCAACTGTTGGGTACACCATCAGACATATTAGTGAGTTTTTAGAAGCATCTTCAATGAAAATCATCTCAACGTACAGGAAAAAAAACCAGCAGTTTCAAAATCAGCAAGGACAAAAACAACAATTCTCACAAATTGAAAACAGTAGTGCTAGAATTGCGATTCAGTGATTAGATATTTATTAATATGGAGAGTATCTACATACCTGTGGAGAGGTAATCCTTGTCCTCCAGCCCATCCTCCACACTGATATCAAGGTCGCTCTGTTGTTTACGAAGTGGGAAGTTTTTCCCACAGTGCACTGAGAATGTAAACACAGAAGGCTCCTCTTTAAAGATGAAAGCGGTGCCATCACCCTGTAGGATGTTTGACACATGAAAAAGGTTTAGCTTCTCAACAAAGACAAATCCTAATCCACAACAGAGACTAGTGTACTCCACCTGATGAACATCTAGATCCACAATGAGAACTTTGCGTTTAGTAGAAGGAGAATTAGGAGAATTGTCCATCGTGTATTTGGCTGCGACTGCAAGATCATTGAGGAGACAAAACCCCGAACCATAGCTGGGAAAAGCATGATGAGTTCCCCCTGCTGTGCTGCAAGCCAGACCCCTCTGCAGAGCGACTTCAGCAGCTAAAACAGTCCCACCTGGCAATGAGAGAGAACGTTAACAGCAAACATAATGCAATCTTTCCGGGTCACGTGTACGTCATGAATTTCTCTCACCTGTTTCATATCGACAGCGCCTCACTATGCCTTCACTCCAGGGAAAGCCTGTCCTCCTTTGCTCTTGCTCACTTATTTTCCCATTTATGAAGTTGTCCAGGTAGTCCTCGGTGTGCACACAGCTCAGTAAATCCTTAGAGGCAATTTCAGGGACCCACACCTACTGTAAGAAAGGAAAAGGCACATCAACAGGAAAATGTGCTTTCCAATAAATACTACTTTTAATAGCAGCAGTGATATTCACTATTAGTTGATCTTGTTATGTTTAGAAACTGGATGCCTGTAAATCATAAAATCAAATAATCGATTATAATCACAGGCAGATATCATAAAAGTGTCTCACTCACCTGTTTCTCTGTAATGACCTGATCTCTGAGCAAACACTGTAAAACCCGGGGAAACTTGCCCATTGGAAACCTGTGATTGGGTGGGAGGTCACACACATACTTGCTGTGATGAACTACTGGAAGCGCGCTAGATTCGTGTCTCACCTGCGAGATGAAAAAGGTGAGTTTTTTAATGCACCCACTGCGGCGTTCAGGGGAAAAATACTTCAGTTCACTTTGTTTAAATTATCATACAAACTTCTTACTAGTTCAGCATGGAAGCACCTGCAGGAGGTGAGAGCTTCACCAGTCATCAACCACGCGACTTTGGAGCGAGGTCCTTTAGAGAACAGCCGCTTAAAGCAGGTCATTTCTAAGACAGGAAGCAATGAATGACATTCGCTTACTTAAGACGGGAGAATGCTACATTATACACAGTTACGATGTTATGAAACGAGACAGGAAGTCCATAAAGTGTCCCGTGTACTGTGTAACGGGATGCTTGGCTGTTACAGCGCCTCCTCAATCTACTGCTGCCATCTTCTGTTATGGAGTGCAAATAACTTTCTGTGCTGCTGTCACGGTTTCTTTCTACTGCTCTGTTTTCTACTATAGTACAACTTGATGGTGAGTATTTTTTTTAATCAGTTGTATCCTATCCACAGATTTACACGCATATACTATTTCAGTATTATGCAAAAATTTTGAACCACCTCTTAATGTTTTATCATTTGCTAGGAGAATGTGTGCAGGAGAATGACTTGTCTGAACTCTCGGTAATATAAGTAGTCTTCACAAGTAAAGTAGCGCTCCAGGTTTATTGAAGGACATTTTAAATCTTTTTTTTTTCTTTTTTAGTTGGCTGGTTTTTGTTTTATTCTCTATCAACATGACCCCACACTGCTTTAATAATGTTGAGGAGAAGCTATTCCATCACTGATAGTGATCCGTTATGTATTTTTCTATCCAGCTGTGCTTTCACTGCGTTAGGATTGTGCTTAGAATGATTGTCATGCTGAAGTGTACTTCTGATGACTGTAAACACTCATTGTTTTACCTCTCTCATTTGGGTTCATCACTCAATAAGAGCTGCCGTCACTGATTTTCAGTCCAGTCCATTTGTTGGGTAATTTAGCATACCTCAGCCATTTCCCCCTGTTTCCCTTCCTTAATAATGCCTTCTTGATAGCCATCCTTACACTCAGACCATTCATGATGAAGCTTCAGCAAACAGTAAATGGATCGACTGAAGGGCCAGATGCGTCTCTCAATATCTCTCATGTCCTGTATCAAGTCTTATTTTTTCATATTTCTTAAGGACATGAATTGCAGATACTGTTCATCTGGTGGGGATAGTTCTTTTTTAGGCCTGCTACTTTTTTTCTGCTCTCCACTTGTCCATTTTCTTCATTTTTAAGGACACACTAAACAGGATGTTTAGTGTTTAGTGTGTGTGTATTTAATTCCTGTCAGACTGTTTTATCTTTGGTATTTTTCATAGATTCAACTAAAGAAATGGAAACGATTGGTGTTTATGTGACAGGCTGCGCATAACAAAAAATACTTAATTTAAAATTGGTTCTCTAAAATTGTCTGCTATGTGAGGAAAAACAAACACTGGTTTATCCCTTAAGCTAGGCACCTCTTTTATGCTTGAATAATTCTCAAATCAGTGTGATCAACAAACAAACAAACAAAAAGCAAAGTGAAAAAAGCAAAAATTTGAAAGACCTTCAGAAAGCCTTAGGAACTATTGCTTAAAACCAATTAAAAACCAAACAAGAAAGCCAGACTCCTTGGAAACAAAATATTAAGAAAGGGGGGTGGAACAAGATTTTTGTACTGTCGTGTGCCTATGTATATGGGTTATTAATGTAACATGCATGCTTCTGTTTGAAATAATTAAATTAAGTACTTGTAAATTAAGTAGTCTATAAAAAAAAAA